TGATCTGAGCTGAAATCAAGAGTGGGATGCTTAACAGACTGAGCCACCCAGGCACCCCCAAATGCATCCATTTTTCAAGGTTCTGACAAATGCAGACACCCATGGAGGCTTGCCATAATCAAGATGCAGAACATATGCGTCACCCCAAGAAAGTTGCCTTGTGCCCCTTTTCAGGGAATCCTATCCTACCGCTCCTGGGGGCACTATAGTTTTGCCCGTTCTATAATGTTATGCACACGAGGTCATGCAGATGTTCTCCTGTGTCTCGCTTCTTTCACCCAGCAAAAGGCATTGAGAGTCATTGATACCATTGCAGTGTTTGTTGCTTTTTAATGCTGAGTATTCCCAACATAGAGGCCGTAATCTGTTCATCCCTTCCCCTATTCGTGGATATGTGGGTTGTCTCTACTGTTGGGCTACTAGGAATACAGCCGCTCTCAGCTTCATGGACTTCCATTTTCATTTCTCTTGGGCCAGTTACTCAAATTATTTTCATGGCTCTTTTTACTTATCAAATCAAGCACACACTTACTCTTGCTTCACGGAATGGTTCAAATGACCCTTCCCTCCTGTACTCCCCTTTCAGCCAAGTGAGCCTGCGGATCTCTGTGGGACCCCTGTGGTTTCTGGGTTCCGCCAGGGCTCAGACGGTCTTCTGCCCTGTGGAGCATCTTCCCCCCTCTATCGATTCTCACCCGCCATTTGAGACCCCTCTCAAATGCCTCCCTTTCATGAATTGTCCTGGACTCAACCATTGGAAGTCATCTGTCACTCCACGGAGCTTTGACCCTCTGTGTTCAGCCCTTGCCTTATGTTCCATACGCCCTATAAAGTCCTGTGAAGTCATCACAGGGAAAAATGCCCCGATAGGTAGAGAAGGATTGGTTCAGGATGGATTGTTAACACTGAGAGAGAAACTAAAGTTTAATCTCAAACATTAGAAAAAATGGTTCTATAAAAACAACTGAATGAGCGAGTCCTAAACCACTGCTCCTAGGGCAAATAGAGGGCGAGGTTCCCACAGCCTCTGGTCACGTTTTCATCAGCCAGTCGATACACGACCTTGCTTTATATGTGTTTCTGTTTAAAAAAGATTATTGATTCACCAACACCGAACCCACAGGCCACGACACTAGGCCTTGGGCTGAACAAAGCGCATTTTCCCCGGAAGACGCATGGCAGCCTGCTCGCCCTCGGGAGCACTCACTACACAGCACCTCGGCGCTGTGCTTGGGGACCGTTTAAACAGCCAAATCGCCAACAAGCAGTACACCGATGCGGAAAGCGCGGCACCGACGAGACCGTAAACGCGGACCCTTGTTTAGAGCAGGAAAAGCCGAAGCAGGAAGGCAGAGCGTTGGCACTTGGTCTGACCTCAGCCCGGAACGTGAGGGGCAGGGGCCCCGCATGTTGCCCGCCCCGCACACGTCCACGAATGGCCATAGTGAGCCGGCAAATGCACAAGCCACAGAATCCGAGAACAGTGAGGACTGACCGTGTGTGCACACCTATTCCCCTTGCTGAGCTCCAAGGTGGCGGCTTTCCCTCCCTTGTGTGACAGGCCACCTGGCCGGTGGCAGGAATGCGCTCCTGAGAAGCATTTGAGGGAAGGAACAGAAAAATGAAGTTACGCTAGGTCGCTGAATGTATAAGGTGAACTTAAACTTATTGTGCGTCTGGTGCATGCCACGTCCACGTTGGGAGCAGGCTGCACGGAGGTGAACACGGAGAGGGACCTTGGCCTCCCCCGTCCGAATAAGATTAGGAAGACTGGCAAAGGAGGGAGAGAGGTAAAGTGTCTCCTAAAATAGGAAGACGATTCCAGAGACAGAACTCATCGCTCACTGTAGCCACCTTGGAATAAGTAGGAATAAACATCAATTTCGTTGAAAGCAGAACTGGAGTGAGACTGCCCCATGTGGAATTCTGGTCCCGCGTCTTCCCAGCTGTGTGACCCTGGGCAAGTCACTTACTCTCCCTCTGCCTCAGGTCCTGGTCTGTGGAATGGGGACACCATAACATCTACCACTTGGGCTCTTCTGAGGATCACACGAGCTCGTATCTGTAAAGCACTGAGGAGCGTGCCTCATGTAGCAGGCGCGCGTTGGTCAGATCTAAAAAGATGCATAGCGTCCAATTTATCTGCTGAAGCAGGTCCTATCAGATCAATCTGATTGTGAGAGAAACAGAGAAGTGGAATGTGAGGTAGTTACTTCTGTGTGGCCAGGAAAATGCGGTCTTGGCCACTCAACGGTGTGCCGAGATGTTCTGACCCCACGGCAGTGAACCACGGTTGGTCCTGAGGCGAGAATCAGCACGGCCATTCTGCTCAGCGCTCTGGTGAGTGAGGTACAAACCTACTGGAAAAAATGCCCAGATACGTAGAGAAGGACTGATTTAGGATGGATTGTTAACACTGAAAGAGAAATTAAAGTTAATAAAAGTTTATGTTAATATTTGTGTAGAGCCATTACAAAAAATGGTTCTATAAAAACAATGTAAAGTCAACAGTCAGGAGATATGAGCACTGATGGGTTGAAAACAGACAACAAGAGCAAAGAGCAGAGGGAGTGACTGGAGAGCATCATCCCAAGGTCAGCGAGGTTCCATGGAATCACTCTGAAATGCGCACGCAGGGTGCTGTGCTGAGTACCACGGTAGGAAACCTCCCGTGTGCCCCCAACACATGCGCGAAAGCACATGACACGCAAGTGCCAGGAGACAAGTGTGAAGCCCGTTCCCTACGTGCATCAGGATGCCAAAGGTCCCATGTCCCACCGGAGTTCATAAAACATGGTTAGAGGAGGCTCGCCACTATGTGAACGTGTATGAGGAACGAGGAACGGCTGGAGGTAGTTATTCTGTCTAGAGAAGACGAAGCCGAAATGTTACTAAACTGCACTTTGTGAAAATGACAGGGAATTTCTTTCTCAGCGTCATGCCTGTAGAAAACTGAGAACGAAGAATCAGTGAAACTCATTACAGTAACAAAATCCTTTTATTTGTGGATGGAGGAGTCTGTCAAAATGCTATGAAAACGAGAGCCTTGTACAACTCCAAGGGGGTCTCAAGATCTCCGCACTGCAGCAAATGTAGATTCCACAGCACAGATGCTCAGAAAAAAAAAAAAAAAATGACAGTTGGTCTAAAGTTTTCAGCGAGTCCTCCTTATTCTTTATTTCACTTGCCTTAGAATGTGGGGGCCATTTGTTTCATGTAATGTGAACCCATTGCATTTAACTGTAGGTTATTAATGGTTATGAACGGTAGGAGAGGTTGTGGTGGAGAGAAATACAAGTGGCAAGGTTCAGAAACTTAGCTGTATGTTCTTGCCATTTGATATTAAATATACTTTGGGATACTTCACGATCTTAAGAAAGAATACCTATTATTCACTGCAATGAGGTTGCACGGCTTGCTTCTCATTCAGTCGCTTAGTAGAGCTTGGCTGCTTAGGTTAGTGGCCTTCTAAGAATGTCTAGACTGTTCTGTGATATGTATCTGGTTCTTCAGCATGTGGGCTTGTGAAATAATTCTATTAAAAGCCAAAAAGGTAGTCATCATTAGGCTCCAAGCCGAATTGTATGAAATGTATGCTTGTTTCATGGTGTGCATCACACAGGAAGTCTTGGTCTCTGCTATTATTCCTTTAGTCAGAAGGCTGCCTTCTCACCTTTCTTGCTAAAGGGGAGGAGAGGGTTATTACACTGTTTGCATTTAATTTTCTTTTTTCCTTCTTCTCTTGACTTTTTTTTTTTTTAAAGATTTTATTTGACAGAGAGAGACACAGTCTAGAGAGGAACACAAGCAGGGGGAGTGGGAGAGGGAGAGGGAGAAGCAGACTCCCCGCTGAGCAGGGAGCCCAATGGGGGGGCTCGATCCCAGGACCTGGAGATCATGACCTGAGCCGAAGGCAGATGCTTAACTGACTGAGCCACCCAGGTGCCCCTCTTGACCAGTTTTCTCAGGAAAAAATATTCTCCCATATCCCTCTGCTTCAATTGGGAGATTAAAAAAAATTTTGAGAGGTGTCTTTGAAGAAATTATTTATTTTCCTGGAGAAATAATTTGTTATACTCCATCATAAAATGTACATTCTTTAGATAGCTGGACATACAACAGAAATATAAACACACCTGATCTTCAGGTCAGTCTTTGATAATTTTATAATCTTTGCAAAGCAACTAACCTTTTGACATTAAAAGGCAAGAATTTAATCGCAGTGACTGAAATACCAAATTCTGATCCACTGAGATGTCCCTAGCCCAATTCAGAGAAATAATCGCAAACTTACCGTTTCATTTACTGATACTGTTGAGAAAAATGCATCAAAGTCCATTCATTCAAAAACATAACCCAGTTTAAGGACAACAAAATTCCTAGTGAGAAGGGGTTGGCTCAGCTAGTTTCACATTCAGTGCCACAGTGAGGCGGGTTAAACATAATTAATATAATTATCTTCATTTAACAAGGCCGAGAAATAAAAGCAAAGAACTAATCTAGGGTTACAGGGTAAATCTAGGGAGATGCCCGAATTGGTCTTCAACTGTCCTGATTCTTACGATTTGAGTGGTCTATCTAGGGAACAAGGTGCCATGGTGTTAAAAATGCAAACACATTGAGTATAGAATTGATGAATCACTGTATTATACATCTGAAACTAATATAACACCACATGTTAACTCCACTGGAATTTAAAAAATTAATAAAAAAAATGCAAGTGCTTTCATAAACTTTCTAAATAACTAGGCAAGTCAGTGAACTATTATAATGTAACATGGCACTTCTATTTTTGAACATACAATATAGGAAAAAATTTATAGTTGCAAAGACAATGCATTACCAAGCATTTTTGTATGATTACACTTCCTTAAAACAAAACAAAACTACCAAAACACACTGGGGTAGGGTGGGGGAATCCCACTTCAACAAATATAAAGCTACAAAATTCTGTTTTCTTTAAAAGTCTTTTCTCTCAAGTTGCCTTATTTTCAGATGGAAGTAATAAAAATTAAAATGCAGCCCTAAACCATTTCATCTTCAAATAATACGGCTATAATAAGTGTAGCTTCTAAAAACTGGAGCCCAAAATATGTTCATTTGTCATAGAGAAATGTAAGTATTTTGTAATATTATAAGGGAAACTATGCTAATACCCAGCATGAAGATACTAAATCTGGAATGGCCCTTGGTGCCATTACAGATCCAACAGTCTTTTCCAAGGCAATTCAGCCGACTTCAATTACTCATGGACTGGACATTATTACACCTTACACCACTCACTTCTTAAACCCATCAACGCTCACTGGACGGTCCCATCAACATTCAGCTGGGATAGAGGTAATTGATGAAATGTCAGTGAAGTCTGCTATTTATAACGCTTCCATTGAAATACGTTTGAAGTTAACAGCTAATACGGTTTTGACTGTCCATGGATTTGATTTTCTGCACAATTTCAATTCTCTAATATAAAGTCAATTAATATGAGGCTACAGACTGGTCTAGATCAGTCATTTCAAAAAGTAAGTGGAAATTTTAAAAGAAAAATTAACTTTCGTATTTCCCACAAAAATCTGCAATACAACATGCGTCTTTGTAGGATGTATTAGTTATAATAGCAATACGGGCCACTGTGCTGTGAATATAAAAGTCTTCCTGAGAAGCCCAGGTTACATGAACTGCTAATTGCCCACCTCACCTTTAAATATAGAGCATGTCAGCACCCAAGGATAATTAGTGATGAGAAACAGAAGTCTATCGTTCTGAGGTTCTTCGTACCTGTAATTCTATTTTAGTGCAATAATTCCTGAAGGTGGTTTCCAGACCACCAGCCTCATATTCCTTGGCAAAGAATATTTCTGTCCCACTAAGTTTAAAAGACCAACGGAGGCAAGGCAGGGCTTTCCACAGTTATAACAAAGAAATCAGTGAATGCTACTTTGCCGTTTTCAAGCTCAGAAAAGCTGAGTGATGTTTTCTGAAAATTCTTAATATAAAGGTTCTCTCCAAGAGAAGCACCACTGAGATCCCCAGCACCTACACATTATGGAATAAAACAGATCTTAACTGAATGACTCCCCAGGCCAAATGGCCCAAGATATCCTGTTTTCAACGAGGTAAACTTTAAAACCCCCAAAAGAAACTAAAGGAAAAGCAGTAACTATGAAAAAGCAACATTCATTATTTTTGGCTCAGTTTGAAACACGGTCGCTCTCTTTCATTAGTTAAAAAGCTTGGGGGAACTGAGAACAATAATCCAAGAAATGCAGCTGAATGCCATGATGTCACGAGAAGACTCTAGAGAAGAATGAGTTTTCTCTGATTTCAATTAGCTATCAAATGTGCTGCTGGGGTATAAATTGTCTTCTATCCCACAAACTTTAAAAACAAGTCACAAAATCCACATTAGAATATAAGTTTTTTAATTTTTATAAATAACTTATCTGTTACAAAGATAGTTTACCCAGCTAAATCACAAAACCATCAACTCAAGATATCCAAATTACGTTTTATTAATAAAACAAGTAAAAACTGATTTATCAATCTTCACATAGAACTGCAGATGAAGCTGAAAAACAAGGCCTAGTTTTAAAACAAAATGCATCAAATGTAAGGGCTTTGGGTCTATGGTCTAATTAACTAGGATTGTCATATTTCTTCCCATATACAAGATGCAAAGCCCGGAAGTCAAGGCTTCGACATTCATATAGATCACCTGTAATAATCCTGCTTATTTAAAAAATATCCATTTGCAGACATTTACAATGGGTGACAGTCAACATTATCTCCTACCTTTTGCTATATTTCAGCACTTCCCTTAGCCCCATTCTAAGCACTGATATATAATTTCATAATTCTGTTTTTTAAATGCATACTGTTATTTCTTTTTCTTGATTTCATTTAGTTATATACATTCCCGATCATCTGAATATTTATTTTCCTTATAAAAATATATCATCAAAATAAAGAGATGCTTGAGGTTGCTTCAGTGTTCAAGTTTGCTTTTCTTTTTTCCAGCTTTCCTTCAGTTGTCCTAAATATGACTAGCCTCGTTTTATAAATACACATGATACTGCCACCAAGTCAGGTTTAGAAACGGACTGCCCCGACAGTAAAGCAATTACGCTTCTCCCCACACCAGGGCTGTAGGTTCTGCTGCTGTGGCTGGTTTTGAAAACTGTACTTTCCCCATAGTAATCTCTTGTGACAGTTCTGTGGGACACCAGGCAGATGAAGCAAGCTTAACCTTGTTGCTCTGTCAGTGGGTTAAAAATACCTTTCGTTTTAAGCTTCCCTGTGGAAGATCAGTGTGCTGTGTGACCCACTGCTGAAGTCAGCAGATATAGTGTGACTTAGAGAGACGCAAGTCTTGTAGTACATTTCCTGCAAGTCAGTGTGCAGCATCCCCACGTCTTCACAGAACATTGGCACTCACGAGGGCAGAGTAGAGTAAGTAGAGGAAAGTTATTTTGTGCACAGTTTCATTTCATTAATGCTTTTTTATTTTAAGGCATTGCTTCTCTCAGGTAAGGCTTAAAAAGGGACATGATCGTGCTTAATCACTAAAAGGAGAAAAGAAAATTAGTTAACAAAAGACTATTACACTATACATATAGAGATATAAGAAAATAATAAAGAAATCACTGAAAGCAGACTCGAGAGATCTGTACAGTAGGAAAAGCTTTGGGATATCTCACTGCACGTTTGTACAGACAATGCATGCTGCTTTCCTTTTCATCTTTAGGCCCCAGATGCTGGCTTCACAGAGTGGAGACGTTTCAGGGAAGACAAAGACGAGGCCACGAGTACCACAGATTCATGAAGTTCTTCCCCTACTCATTGGCACCGTGCGGCAGCAAACAGTTTTTAAATAGTTACATCTTGTTCCTTTTCTTCATGTTTGTAGTGTTTCACCGAAAGCTTTAAAAAAAAAGCCATCGTTCTATTCCTTCCTCCTGTCAAAATTCAGTAGTGACATGAGGGGGAAAAGGTCCTGGGCACACCTCGGCATTAGTATATTGAGAGTTATCCACAAGGGGCTACTGGTAACACTGTACGTGCTTAGGCAGCAGGCAACCGGCTCTCTCAGCAGATCCCCTTTCATGTGATGAATTTCAACTGCCCATGACATTAGACTGAGGTATCACTAGCTCTGTGGGCTGACATTTAACATTAGCACAACACCATCTCGTCACACCTTCAATTTGACAAAATCCTATGTAGCAGTGAAACTTTTCCCCTGATGACAGACTCGTTTCTTGAACTTCCAATGTGGTTTTAGAGCTACAGGGCCTTTTGGCTCAGAAGTGCCTTGGCATCTCACACTGTTCACAGCGGATTAAGGCTGGATGGTTCAAAAAAGTACAGGCGGTACAATTCCACTGAGCCCCCTCATCATCTTCTGTGTCTTGAGTCTTTGGTGTTTTGACGGTGGACCTTTGATCTGTAAGGAAGCAAACGAATTGTCTTAGAAGCCAAAAAAAATGGCAAAGTCATAAATGACTGGCAATGTGAAGCACCATCTGGACTGCACAGCACGGAGCAGCCTGTTAACCAAATGACACGTGCGCTCGGGTCCCCCACCTCTAGCAAGCCGGTGCTTCTCTGCTGGGGAACACCAATACGGACACGATGGCGTCACCTCACTGTCTCCTTTAGGGGGAGGAGGGCGTCATTTTCTCCAGTTGAGAACCGGAGAAAAGGGAAATCAATTCATAGGGGACCCAACAGCAAAGATTCCTGTAATGTCACCGCAGGACTGTGAAAAGGTGTCCTACCACCATACTGACAGTGAGCCTGTGCTTCATTAAAGTTAGATTTGCGTTCCCCACTGAAAAAGTACTTATATTTCTGTTTTCTACCAGGAATGGACATTTTTGTCAAATGTTCCCTGTTTGCTAAAAATGTAAGCCATGAACACCACAAATAAAAACAGAAAGATGAGCTAATTTCTAAAAACCTTAACTATATATCAACAATAGATTTGGAGAAGCAAATCAGTGTAAAGATTCTACCACTCTTTATTTCTCAGTTTATTTTAAAACCATATTTATTACAGAACACTTAGAAAAAACACTAGATTGAGGGCTGCGAGAATGGAGTTCCGGAGCTGGCTCTGCTGCTCACTCATGACTTCTCTGTTCTGTGATCTTAGATAAACCCACATACCCTCAGGTCTGAACTCTCCTATAAAGTGAAGCCACTGCAGCCTTAAGAGGCCAATGTTCTAGAGTGTTTGAAAGGATTAATGTATGTTAAATATAAGGAATAACTACATTCCTTCAAGGCTGTGTCTAAGATGAAATTACATTTATGGAACTACTTTTTTTTGAGGGGGGATCCCATTAGAAATTTAGGATAATATTCCTACAAATTAGTTTGGGGAGGCTTAAGGTAAAAGGAGCATGCATTGTTGGAGCTCTCTTGTCAAGGTTTACAATATAAAGATTCAAACGATGTTAAAACACTGTATACTAAAATTTGCAAATTCCACCTACTCTACTGAGTTGGTAACTAAATGGTATCTTTTCTGATAATTTAAAAGATAAACTTACTGTATCTAGTAGGCAAAATAGAGGAAATCAAGCTTTTATAACAAATCTAAAATAATTAAGTGATGTTTGGTATTCTGCCCTCTTTATTTTTTAAAATATATATTTTAAAGATTTTATTTGAGAGAAAGAGCATGTGTGCATGTGCACACAACTGGGGGGGTGGGAGACAGAGAAGGAGACTCCCCGTTGAGCAGGAAGCCCAACTTGGGGCTCTTGGTGCTCGATCCCAGGACCTGATCCCAGGACCCGGAGATCAACGACCTGAACCGAAGGCAGACGCTTAACCGACAGAGCCACCCAGTCGGTCCTGACCCCCTTTAGCAGCATCTTATTTACTGATTAGTCTTTTTTTTTTTTTTAATATTTTATTTATTTATTCATGAGAGTCAGAGAGAGAGAGAGAGAGAGAAAGGCAGAGGCAGAGGGAGAAGCAGGCTCCCCGCCTAGCAGGAAGCCTGATGCGGGACTCGATCCCAGGACCCTGGGATCATGACCTGAGCCGAAGGCAGACGCTTAACCATCTGAGCCACCCAGGCGCCCCATCTTATTTACTGATTAGTCTTAAGGAACACTTTATTGCAAAACTATCAACTTTAGGCATTGGTCATAATTTTTAGGCATCGTGACACTTTTTGCCACATTCAAGAGCAACTTGAGAATGCTATTTATAGAACAAATACTTTCTTTAATTGGGTAATATAATTGAGTAATAAATTTTCTTTATATTGAGTAATTTAAAAATATCTAAGGCTTATGTAAGTTAAAATATTTGAAAAATCAAGGATCTGACAATACTTAGGTAATATTTCTTAAACCACATTAAAATAAATACTTAAAGGGGCGCCTGGGTGGCTCAGTCGTTAAGCGTCTGCCTTTGGCTCGGGTCGTGGTCCCAGCGTCCTGGGATCGAGCCCCGCATCAGGCACCCTGCTCGGCGGGAAGCCTGCTTCTCCCTCTCCCACTCCCCCTGCTTGTGTTCCCTCTCTTGCTGTGTCTCTCTGTCAAATAAACAAAATCTTTAAAAAAAAAAAAAGTTAAAATTTTGACTTTTTACCATAGAAAATGATTTTACACTTCATACCTGGGAAACATTTTATCGAATGATTGTTTTAATCTGGGGATCCACCCTACTTAATAGAATTTTGGTCTCACTTAGGTGTTAGAAAACATTCCCACCTGACACATTTAAAAAGCTTCGTCTATCCTTTTTAACTACAAACGTTTTTAGGAAAGTGGACTATTTGTATTAACACTTTATTATTAAATACTAGCACCTTCTTCGTTATTTAAGTAGTATCTAAAGTAATCAATAGGGGACCTACATTTTTTTTTTTTTTAAATGAAAAATCTCCAATGGTTTTCTTATATCTGCACAATTGCATTTGGTACTTAAACTTACAAATCTTTTTATTAGAAGTATTTGGAAACCAGAATTTAAAGAGGAAGTTAGACTGCAAAGGATGGCTTGTGATTTCCACACTAATTTTAGCTGTTAAAAACAAAACAAAACAAAACAAAACACTGCAGTGTAAAGCAGAAGTGCAAAATTTTTTCTAACTAAATAAATCTCTATAAATGAAACTAATAATTCTCTATTTTAGCTGAAGGCAAAAATGTTTGATTCTCTATTTCTCCAAAATAGCATAAATAGATAGAAGCACACAAAAGCTTCTATCTTTTGTGAGAAAACTTTTAATAGATTTTTTCTTTTTTCCCTTTTTTTGGGTAATAATTGCCATATTTCATATTTGACATATTATAAACTTTTTAAATTGTAGTATAGTTGACATACAATGTTATATTAGTTTCAGGTGTACTGCAGAGTGATTCAACAATTTTAGACATTATACAATGCTCACCACGATGTAGTTACTATCTGTCACCGTACAGAGTTATTATAATATTGACTATATGCCCTACGCTGTACCTTTCATCCCTGTGACTTACCTATTTTATAACTGGAAGTCTGTACTGCTTACTCCCCTTCACCTATTTTGCTCATCTCTTCCCACCCCAGTGACCATTAGTTTGTTCTCTGCGTTTATTAGTTTCCATCTGTTTTGTTGTGTTTGTGTTTTTTGGATTCCACATGTAAGTGAAATCATATGGTATATTATCTCTCTTATTTCACTTAGCATAATACTGTCTAGGTTCATCCATGCTGTTAAGAATGGCAAGATTTCATCCTTCATTATGGCCGAATAATATTCCATTGCATGCACACACACCCCACATCTTCTTTATTCATTCATTTATCAACGGACACTTAGGTTGCTTCCGTGTTTTGGTTATTGTAAATAATGCTGCAATAAACACAGGCATGCATGTATCTTTTCAAGCTAGTGTTTTCATTTTCTTTGGGTAAATACCCAGCAGTGGAATTACTGGACTGTGTGGGATTTCTAATTTTTGAGGAACTTCCATACTGTTTTCCATAGCAGCTACACAAATTTAAATTCCCACAAACAGTACACAAGGATCCCCTTTTTCTCCATATCCTCATCAATACTTGTTATTCCTTGTCTTTTTTAAATTAAGTTTAAAATTTTTATTTGTCTTTTTGATACTAGCCACTCTGACTGGTGTGAGGTGATATCTCATTGTAGTTTTGAGATTGACATTTCCCTCATGATGAGTGATACTGAGCATCTTTTCATGTCGCCATCTGCATGTCTTCGCTGGAAAAATGTCTATTCAGGTCCTCTGCCCATTTAAAAATTGGATTATTTGGGGGTTTTTTTGGTGTTGAGTTGTATGAGTTCTTTATATATTTAAAATATTAATCTCTTATCAGATATATCGTTTGTGAATTATCTTCTCCCATTCAGTAGTTGCCTGTTTGTTTTGTTGATGATTTCCTTGCTGTGCAAAAGCTTTTTAGTTTGATAATTGCTTTTGTTTTCCTTGCCTGAGGAGACATATCTAGAAAAATGTCCCTAAGGCCAATGTCCAAGAGATGACTGCCTGTGTTTTAAGAGTTTTATGGTTTTAGGTCTTACATATAGGTCTTTAATCCATTTTGAGCTTATTTTTGTGTATGATATAAATGGTCCAGTTTCATTCTTTTGCCTGTAGCAGTCTAATATTCTCAATTTATTGAAGAGACTTTTTTTTTTCTCCATTGTATATTCTTGCCTTTGTTGTAAATTAATTGATGGGCACTCTATTGTTTCATTGGTCTGTGTCTATTTTTGTGCCAGTACCATATCTTGAAATCTGGGATTGTGATACTTCCAGCTTTGTCCTTTCTCAAGGTTGCTTTGGCTATTTGGGGTCTTTTGGGTTCCATGCAAATTTTAGGCTTATTCTAGTTCTGTGAAAAATACCATTGGTATTTTGGTAGGGACTACATTGAATCTCAATGTAGATTGCTTTGGTAGTACAGACATTTAACAGTATCAATTCTTCCAATTCATGAGCATGGTGTATCTTTCCATTTGTTTATGTTGTCTTCAATTTCTTTCATCAATGTCTTATAGTTTTCAGAGTACAGGTATTTTTTCCTCCTTGGTTAAATTTATTCACAGGTATTTTAGTTTTCTTTGATACAACTATGAATGGGATTGTTCTCTTAATTTCTCTTCTGCTACACTGTTGTTAGTGTATAGAAATGCAACAGACTACTGCATATTAATTTTGTATATATAATAAAATTCAACTTCAATGAATTCATTTATTAGTTCTAATAGTTTTTTTGGTGGAGTCTTCAGGGTTTTCTATATATAGTATCATGTCATCTGCAAATAGTGACAGTTTTACTCTTTATCAATTTGGATACTTTCCTTTTTCTTGTCTGATTGTTGCAGCTAGGAACTACCAGTTGAATAAATGTTGAATAAAAATGGCAAAAGTGGGCATCCTTGTCTTGCTCCTGATCTTAGAGGAAAAG